CTAAAAGTAGGTATCAGTATAAAGAGCTGTATTAGACGTATTGATTTTACAAAACTTACCAGCTCTATAATTCGAATTAACATAAATTCTAGCGTTACATTGATTACTGTATTCGGGTCGAGTACGGGTCGACTTGTTGACAGTCCAAGGTTTTGTATAATGGCTTCTGCTATGATACTTTCATTGTTTTTTATAACGGTAACACTGTCTACTATGAAAGAAACAATACATGTCAAAGTCACGCTAGTTTTGCCAGCTATAATTTTGTTACACATAATAGGTCTACCAGTATTTTTCGGTGATAGGACGAGGCGTCTCTAGTACGAGGCGAAGGTAAGGTTGGGGAGCTCGATGATTGAGTGAGGGGGAGCTTGCCTGCAAAAAAAATGTAATATGAAGGGATTTTTTTATCTACCTGAGCATTATGTGTTTTTGTTTCGAATATTTTTGATGGGAGGGGAGGAGACTTGAGGGCGCAAAACTTATCTGAGTGTATTTTCAGGAGCGCCAGAAATGTAGTACCAACCCAGCAGTGTCGCTTCTGCTGTGCTCTAGTTTTCTGCATTTAAAATCATATAGGCTGCAACTAAAATAATTAATAATACTAAGTACAAATTCAAATTCATATACTGATTGGATGAAACAATTTACAGTACAAGAAAAAAAACTTTCAAAATACAGGACATATAAAAGAAGAAAAAAAAACAAAAACAAAAACAAGACAAACAACAACATTTAGGGGAAAAAACATTAAAAATTTACATTACGAAATCTCATTAACATGATTTAAATAGGAATAAAATAAGGTGAATATTCAACATCAAATAATATAAAATCTAAATTGCACTTACAATTACTAATTTAAAATGAAAATCAATAAGGGGTCAATAAGAGAACATCAAAAATGTACATCAAGAGAAAAAAAAATCATAGAACAACCAAAATTATTGCAAAATGCCATTTATAAAAACTTACATCAAAATTATTTAATAATTATAATCTCAACAAAGCATCAATTAATAAAATAAAATAATCGTATTATAATTAGCCATAAACACCAAAAGTTTTGCAAAAAGCCCATTTATTAAAAAAATTACATCAAAAAACTGATATACCGGTAAATAAATATAATATAATATATAAATAAATGAAATAAATAAAAAAAATTTAAAAAAAATGAAACATAAATATAATAAATATAATAATATAAATATAATATATAATATAAATAAATATAATATATTACCTGTTACCAGGGGCACTGTTAGCAGTAAAAACGTCCAGTACAGATTATGCATGGCGGATACATGTAGTGTTAACAAGGCAAAGTGTGCTTCAGTTCATTTGTAGATCGAAAAAACATCTACAGTAGAATGGCGTTTCACTTTGTTTATGCTTTCGGTGAGTCTGTTAATTTTTGATTTGCAATAAAAGCTCCAGAGGAAACCCGGTGTTAGGTAGGAAACTAACATAGCGAAGTAAAATTGAATAATAATAATAATAATAATAATAATAATAATAATAATAATAATAATAATTATAACAATAATAGTAATAATTAATAATACCATATGATAATAATTACTGTATGATATATGGAGGATATATTGACTCAAATAAATCTTATAAAAAAGTGGATATCAGTGTGATCGAAATGACCAGAATGTAACAATTATCAAATCTGTATAATTATATATACAAAATGTAGCATGTGAAGAGATAACCTCTGAATAGTTTTGCGGTAATGCCTTATATACAGTAGTACTTCTGCTTAGGGGCATCCCTATTAGGGGGAGACCTCTATTAAGGAGGCAATTTTTCGTGAAACGAAGGGAAATACCGTACATCATGTTGCACTACAGCCAAACCATTTTAAAGAGACACCCATTATTAAAGGGACGGGGACACTTTCTAAATTGAATCTTGTCAGTTTTGACCATTAACAATATTTCTTGTTTAGTGTCTTTTCATATTGGAATCTAGGATTCTAATCTATACCGTACATCCTGGCCCCTGATTTCTAAGCAGTTACTATACATGCTATTCTATTTTGTGTAGGCCTATACAATAGAAAGCTCAATATTAAAAAAAATAAATAAAACAGAATAATTATTTGATCATTAACATCGCACTTGAAATATGAAACAACATAGGGAAGATATGCAATATTTGTTGTTTTAAATACATTTCTGTTGATTACATGTCCTAAATGAATTGTTTTTGCAATGCTAATTATTTTTATTCAATTGTAACTCATTCTTAGGCTAATTAAAATGAAATTAAAAATGATATAGGGCCAATGTCATCATTGTACGACGACATGCTAAAAGCCCCTAAATAGGGACAATTTCACGTTGTTGGTTAGTGTCCCATGAATTCAGGGAACACCCCTCCCCCATAATTAAGGAGACTTTATTTTGGTCTCGAGGGTGTCCCAATAACGGAAAATATTATGCTTAAATATATGTGAAAAATTGCACATTATTTAAGCATTCAAATAATTCACCTAAATTTAAAGATGCTTGTAACGAGGGTTGTCTCAAAATAATATGTTCTGCTAATATTGTTTATCAACGAACAATCAAAGAACCATTGCATATACGATGGGAGCAGCCGCCCCTTAACAGACAATTGCAACATGTAAATTTGACTCTTTAAATCTGCATCATCTTTATTCATACATTTCGTCTCCGGTATGGTTTAATTCCTCCAACTTGAATGCTCCGCCCCAATTGTTCTTATGTATTTCTTCATCTATATTCATGTCTTTTTCATACGCTTCAGTTCACTTATTTATCATGAAATTTTAACGGATTTGTTAACTGATTTATCTACTGGAATATGCGTGAAAGCATATTACTATTACACAAAAATGGCAGTTGCACTGCTGAAACATGTTTGGTTTCGAGATATTTTATAATAAAACTGTTAGGCATAGCCTAAATGGTATTGAAATCTGAGGTGATTTTATTCAGATTTATAGCATGTCTGCTGCTACATCGTTCATTTGTATATATATATATATATATATATATATATATATATATATATACAAATATATAATAATAATATTGCATAATAAACATGCAGAAATGGGAAGAGCAAAATATAACAGCAAACTACATTAAAATATTTGAAGTAATTATTCATTAATAAAGTTACTATAAAAGTATAATGGCATTTGTTTTTAACAAAAAATATATCCATATAAGAATTACGCAAAAACAATAATACCTCATTATACAAAATTGCTAAATCTACATGTTATTATTTAGATATTCCTGTATACGAATTTTACTACTTGATCTACGATTTTAATTAACATGTTTCATAAGGTTCCCTGAGTTAAAAAAGCTAAATATTACGAGAAATTACGAACCGCTTTTACAAACGGCGCTTTTCCTACATCTTTCTACTTTATGCAGCTTGCATTATATATATATATATATAATGTAATAGTCCGTTTGAAGCGACTCTAGTTTGAGTGCGATACTAGTTCAGTTCAAACGCACATGCCATGTACGCATACCCTTACATGTATTATATTATAAACTATGATTTCCACGAACACCGATAATATGGTGCCTATCACTGATGTAAAATACTTTCCTGTAAACACAAAGTAATCAAACATTTGAATGCTGGATAATATTAATCGGCATAGTGTAATCCTCTACAAATGATATTTGGATATGTTAATTTTTTTTCGGACCACCGTAACTCACAGTACACCACTCTAAATGAGTGGTGAAAGAGGCTGGTAGGCCTGATATGGCCTTCTATTAGCCCCTATTGACTTCTTAAACTTCGACTTAAAATGGTTTATAGAGTCAACTTCAACTGTACTGGCGGGGAGAGCGTTCCAAGTATTAATAACCCTATGAGTAAAAAAGTGCTTACGGCAATTTAGACGAGCATATTTCTTATTCAATTTATACCTATGGCCCCTAGTAACTGAAGCAATATAATACGAGATAATACGAGTTAACATAAATTCTAGCGTTACATTGGTTACTGTATTCGGGTCGAGTACGGGTCGACTTGTTGACAGTCCAAGGTTTTGTATAATGGCTTCAGCTATGATACTTTCATTGTTTTTTATAACGGTAATACTGTCTACTATGAAAGAAACAATATATGTCAGAGTCACGCCAGTTTTGCCATCCATAATTTTGTTACACATAATAGGTCTACCAGTATTTTTCGGTGATAGCGTGGCGTCTCTAGAACTAAGCGAAGGTAAGGTTGGGGAGCTCGATGATTGAGTGAGGGGGAGCTAGCCTGCAAAATAATGTAATATGAGGGCATTTTTTTTATCTACCTGAGCATTATGTGTTTTTGTTTCGAATATTTTTGATTGGAGGGGAGGAGACTCGAGGGCGAAAAACTCATCTGAGTGTATTTTCAGGAGCGCCAAAATTGTACTACCAACCCAGCAGTGTCGCTTCTTCTGTTGTATCTATAATTGTGCTCTAGTTTTCTGCATTCAAAATCATATACTACTAAAATAATTAATAATACTAAGGATTTTAATTAACATGTTTCATAAGGTTCCCTGAGTTAAAAAAGCTAAATATTACGAGGTATTACGAACTGCTTTTACAAATCGTTTTTAAAAACGCTTTTCCTACATGATTCTACTTTATGCAGCTTGTCAGTGACATCGATATAACCCCCTGTTCGTATAAAAAAAAAATCCCTTGACTCATTTAGACCACGTGATTTAATGTGTGCAGACTGGGTCTATGAAGTACAGTTCTTATCCAACTAGACATTATTCTACGACCAATTATTGATTACTGAAAGTAATATTAATAAGAGTTAACTTGAGGGCGTTATAGGTATTTCCAGTATATGTGGGAACGTCCAAAATACGTCAACTTGAGGACGCTAAGCCTTTTCAATATAAGATCCAAAATACGTCAACTTGAGAGCTCTATGGCATTCGAATGTAGGCGAGTATCAAAAATAAGTCAACTTCGGGGTGCAATTTAATTCTTTCCAATTTAGGT